GGAGGTCATGAAAGCCCAGGAACTTGGGGAAACTGGTCAGGGCCCATAACTGGGGGCCACAGCTGGTTGACATGGGCAGCCCAGGATGGCAGAAATCCTGGCCAGTGGCCTGCAAAATCAGACACTGGAGGACAAATCATATTTGTGCTGAATAATTCTTGAGTTCAGAGCTAAACTCAGTGATCAGGACAGAGGCAGCCAGGAGGTCTCTGCAGGGCTACTGGTGGATCTCAGGGAAAATCCAGCTGACCAGGATACCAACCAGACAGTCAAAGCTGGGAGCGGGTGTCTGTGGAGGCAGGCCCAGAACCCAGAGCTGTCATTCAAGGGCAGCACTGTCATCACCACAGCTGGCTTCTGCCCTACCTGTTGCCTGTATAGCAGGTCCTGAGGCTGCTTCTGAGTGTAATCAATCTTTGTAAGGAAAGAGGAGGCTATTTCTGTCTATGCTAAACTAGAAACAAAGAGAAAAATTCTGAAACTGGAGTAGATTTGAGGTTCAAGACTTTATTCTCTGTCCTAAACATTTCTGGAATGAAGTGAAGGCATAAATAAATACTTCCAAAAGAATGTAATATTGCTATCTAGTGATAGCAATGGTCGGAATGGTGATTCAAGAAGAGAATTATAATGCCACAAATTGTCAGAGTAAGTGCCACATGCAGATGGTGATACACATTTCATCACACTACTTCATGTAATCTTTCAGCGAGGTGGCAGTCTAAATATTCCTAATTCACAGAGGAGAAAACTGAACAACATAGAAGTTTCATTTTCCCAAAGCGAATTGCCAATCAGTGCAAAAACCTGGAATTATCAATGGGGTGACCTGATATCCATTCTTGTTTACTGTCTCCCGATACTGTAGCCCTGTAGATCTCTGGTCCTTTGACCTCACCATGACCTAGCTTCTTCAGGAGAATATTCCAGAAGCAGAGCGAGGGCCTGTGAATGGCGTCAGTGCTCCCTCTATTACCTCATGGTCCTCATTCACTTCGTTCTTGTCATGCTGGCCCCTTGGCTGCAGCAGTTTGGCATCCATATAGCAAGAAAGTGTAAGATTTGGAATGCCTGTGCTCAGAAGACAGCAAAGAAGGTAGGCAGCACCTTGGACTACTCAAGTTCTGTAACTGGTCCCATCCCACCATTTCCAGAGCTTTCTTTACCTTGCTGCTAAGTGCCTGTCTTGTGCCACCGCTACCTTGGAGAGCAGTTGAGTCATCCCTTACCTCTTCCAATGGCATCAACTGCAGTAAGTGCATGTTTGCAGTGGCGGGTTCCAGCCAGTTTACAGAACTGTGACTCATGGTGTGCCCATTAACTGAACTGAGAAATTCTGCTGTGGGCAACTTGAAGGAGCTTGCTTTCATCTTACCAACACAATAATCCAGTGTTTTCAGGTTTTTATGTCTCCCCAGCCTCTAAAATTGTCATAACCATCTGGTTAATGTTAAAGTCAGAGAGGTGGGATATTGTCAGTGATGTGAGTTTGAATTCCTTGGGTGTGGTTTTTTTGTGGTTGTTCTATTGCTAGTTTGTGAGTGTTCTTCTGATGAGCTAAGTTTTCCTCATGAGTATTGTAGCAATCTGTGAGGGAAGTAGAAGCAAGTAACAATCTTTGGGTGGTTTCTAAACTCTGGAAGCAGAGATTAGAGGACTTGGGCAAACTTTACCACGGTGATGCAGTTTACACCTCTGATTTGACTAACTGATATAAAAAGCCACTAGTTTCTGATGAGCAAATTTTGAGTTCTGGCCACTAATAAACAACCAAGTGAGAAGTTTAGAAGAAAGTCTATACAGTTTTTAACTTAAAATAATGAATTGCTATTTTATAAATGTTGTGATGTATAGGTTTACTTAGAAGTGAAAACAATGAGGCTAGACATTAAGCCCCGTTGGGTCTTAAATCACAGAGAACCATTCAGTATGTGGGAAAGTCACACACATTTTGGGGACAACTGTAGCATACTTAGTAGCACCTTTACAGAGGATGCCGTGGGAGTGATACTGTCTAAGACAGAGTTTATCAACCTCTGACCTAGTGGCATTTTGGGTCAGATAATCTTTGGTGCATTCTGGGACGTTTTGCAGCACCTCTGGCCTCTAACCACTAAATACAAATTACCCTGCCCCCCACCAAGTTGTGCCAATCAGAATGTCTTCAGACATTGCCAAATGTCCCCAAGGAGGGCAAAATTGTCTTCCCCACCCCTCTTAGAAACTACTGCTTAAGAAAAATATGGAAACTAAGGGAAGAATCTTATTAATCATAAAGAAAGTATAAAAGGAGATTTTTATACAGACCTGCCTTTTAGAGAAGAGTTAAGTGACAATGAGGGAAGAAGAGAATTTTGTGGAATATTTTGCTTAGGTAGTTGTACAAAATTGTACTTTTTATATAAGTTATGGTAATATTTATAGTGTCACCTTCTTCTAATCTTTGTCCTTCCATAAAAAACTTGAATGACTACATTACTACACACACACACACACACACACACACACACACACACACACACACACTCCGAACCCATTTAGGTAAGAAAACCATAACTGTTTTTATGTGAACTTGTCACTAAGGAAGTTGTATTTTGATGAGATATAATATATCAAGTCCTTTGGCTCTTGATTGTTCTTGTAAGAATAAGTACTTGCACAGAGTCGACATAGAACATAAAAGTGTTTAATAAACATTTGAGCTTGTATTTAAAATCTCCAGAAGTGCTAGCAGCTTGAGTGTAGAACTTATGTGAAATCTCCTAAGCAGTTCTGGCTCCCTACACCTGCACCTTCTGCCCTTGAAAAAATAACCGCTTACCTATAAATTCTGGTTGTTAAGTGCTAATTTTGCTCTTGCTTTTCCTCCCAGGTCCTATTCAGTAACACAGTAAAGTGTGTTTCTCCGCTGGACTGTGGAACCACTATCTGCACATTTCCATGAATATCCTGGTTCATGTTTTAGACCAGGCTTTCCTAACAGAAATATAAGGCAAAATATATTGATACAATTTAAAAAATATATATTTTTAATTTATACTATAGCTGGGGTATAGCCAGAGGCGCGTGAGGGTGAGAGGATTCACCAGAGACAGAGTGGGGAACGGAATAGGCGGTCGGACCAAAAGCACTGCTGAGGGGAGCAGTGGGCAAGACAGAAGAGGTCTGCCGCGCCATGTGGGTATCTCCCTGGCCGGTTGGGAATCGGACCCACGCTGCAGAGGCAGCGGACAGCTTCACAGTGTTGCACTCAGCCCGCTGTGCCCCCAGGAGGCCTGCAATCTTAATAATATGTTTAATTTAATCCAATATAGCAAAATACTGTCATTTACTGTAATCAGTGTAAACTTGATATTTCCCATCTTATAAAAAGTATTAATTTTTCCAAATCAGATTTTTTTCCCACTTTAGCACTGGTCAATTTGGACTGCTCTTATTTCAAGTACCCACAGCTGGTGAGCCGTTACTGTATTGCAGAGCAGTTTTAGAGTCTCTGATGAGTCCCAATGTTCTACCAATTTCTCCACTGTAGGAAGTCTGTAAAGGGTATAATGGGCTCCATTTCTGCATTGAAGAGTGGGAAAATAACATGCCAGGGCTTTTGTCCAACTGGAAAATTATGGTGTTAGGCTGTTCCAATAACTCACTTCTTATATTTTTATCTTTTTTATTTCTGAAACAGATTGACAGGGAGCTGTCCTGGAAATGCAGATGGCAACTGTGGAGGGAACCTTAAGACAACCAGCCCTTGCAGTACAGGTAAAATTCCACTAGGGGGCCTTCTAGCCAAGGTTGCATAATCCCAGATTGTGATAAATCACAATTTCATAGTCAAACACCAGAATCAGAATGCTTCAGTTTATGAATACAAGGTAAATTTCAGAAAGGCAATTTTTATGAATACAAAATAAAATAAGCCTTTCAAACACTTCTCTGGCTGCTTATCTCTTCATACATTCTGAATCTGGCTTTTCTTGCAGGAAGTGTTACCCCTGTCTTTGACTTGACAATCAACTGTGTAGGCCCATGTTTATGGGGTTTACTGGCCAACTGCCCTCACGACTCCAAAGGCAAATACATCAGTCTCCATTATCTCCAGATCCCTGTTTAGTTATCCAACATCTATTCTCTTGTCTTTCTTCCTTCAAAGTACTTGAGCTCATGCCTCCTCTATTTTAAATTTATATTCAAGTGCCAAATTATGAATTTCTCAGGTGACTCTTTTAATTCCTCTGATGCTCGGAGTCAAATTAGTGGGAGTCCAAAGTACAAGGCTAATGAGTTGGTTTTATAACCCTGCTCTCTTCTTGTTGAGCGTCTAATTATTATGGTTGTTGCTATTTGCCACGAGGCACTTCCTATCATTTTTGGAATGTGGTGATGGGGGTACAAATAGTTAAAATAGTCTCTTTACAGTCCATCCTAACAATGAAATCTTTGGGATATTGACTTAGATACCATGTGGAATTATTCCTTACAAAAGAACTCAGTTGAGGCACAACCTGTCTTCATCTTTCATAATAACATGGAAAAGTGGCACTGTGCAAACTCTATAAAGGCAGAAATGGTCTACCACTGGACTTAATGCACAGGAGGAACAAAGTAAATATTAGCCAAATTATATATTTAAGGTTTTAGGAAGCTTACTTTAGTTTGGAATGTTTGTTTGAATTACAAGGATTTGCTTACTTTTAAGAAACAAGTAAGCACTTATACTCAAGAATGTGACTTAGTCTGCCTGACCTTACATAGCAATAACATAACTGGGATACTGGGCAAGTCACATCTGGGGAGATTAGTGACTAGAGTACTTAAATAAGAGTTGACATTTTCAATGAAGTCATACAACTTGACAAAAAATCATATTTCAATCACATTTTCTCTTTATATTTGAGTCCTTCCTTTGGAATTAATAAATTCTCTGAAAGCATTTATTCAATTCCGTGTTTGCTTTACTTCTCTTCAGGGTACTTGAGCATCAAAAAACAGCCTGGTAACTTAATAGTATTGGCCTTCTTCCATTCCTGCTTTCTGAAGAACTGTGAGACTGGGTACAAGTCCTCATTCTATTTTCTTTGGTCATGTTAAACTTACTTTTCTTTACTAAGTTATTGGACTTTTGATGTTGTAATGGTACAAGGGAAAGGATATGGGGGAAGAAAGAATAGGAATATATGAAAACTGGAAGCACAAGGACATTGAAGCCTGAAGGGCATTGTCTGCTCCTAAGACAAGAATGCCTAAATTAGCTCTTAGGAAGTGTCCATGGTCTTGGAGGCAAGGCTCAACAGGCTTTGCGGTGAGTCCTACTACCAGGAAAGAACAATGACTCACAACCAAAGTTGGCCCATCCCTCCTTTGAAAAGTACCCTTGTCTATCCCAAGAGAAAAAGGGACAGAGTTCAGACCTGTTATTTCAGGAGCAGGCCATGTGGCTTACACAAAAAGCTTTGAGATCAACCCAAGTCCAATTATTCAGCAGCTAAAACCGGTCTTCCTTTCTCTAATTCCCTGGCTAGTCAATATTGCAAGGCCATTCTAAATATCCTTGGAATTTCTACTCCTAGATTATCTACCCAGAAGAATGCAAAAACACTTATTCATGTGCATTCCTATTATTCATTGCAGCACTATTTACAATTCCCAAGTTATATGGAAACAATCTAAGGCCCAACAACTGAGAAATGGATAAAGATACACAATGGAATACTATTCGGTTATAAAAGGTTAAACTTTGTCATTCACAACTCAGATGGTACTAGAGGGGATTATGCTGAGCAGAAATAAAGATAAAAATCACATACATGACTTCACTCTTCTGGAACATAAGTAAAACAAAGACAAAATTTAACCAGACCAAACCCAAAAAATCTGACTGAAGAATTGAAACTAGAGAGGGATAGTACAAGGTGGAGGCCTGGTGGACTATGGTGGAGGACATGAGAACATGTTTTTGCCTGAAGCATCCATAAAGAAAAATTATATACCCTCAATGGGTGAGCCAAAATGTATCTTTTGACCCTCTTTTCTCAGATACTTATTGTGCCTGAGTCACTTGTGTGATGTACACTCCAGAGTGATTTGGTATTTTGCCACTTTCAACATCTCAGTATATCAGAAGACTTTTCTCAAAGATTTCATTGGAAATGACAGTAAGACACCAGAAAGGTTAAGCTTTCAAAGTCATGTTTATTTAAATATAATTTACATTCAATAAATTTTCCTAAAATCTGACAAACACAATTACCAACCTTACCAAGATTTAGAAGATTCTTCCAAATTCCTTCATGCTTCTTTGCAACCAACCCCAGCCCGTTGGGATCCACCAATCACATTTTGTCAAAAGGGTCACTAATCATTTAAATAAATGCTCTAAGGAACAACATGCAAGCACATAAAGTGCAAGGTTTTAAAGACACTACGAAAAATTTTTCTTTGTGCAATAAAACAAAGGTGGCATTACATGCATGCCTACTATGTAGCATTATACACTACAGGTATGCAAGATACTTTGGTCAGTACGAGACAGACCTAAGGTAAAATGAAGCTCACTATTACCACATATATTCCTCAACAGCAATATACAAGAACATGCCACAAAAGAATATATAATCTTCGGAATAGTCAAAAGAATATAATTTTAAAATAATCTGTAAATTAAAATATGGTTAACAAAGTTGTCTTAAGATAGCTGTTGAATAGTCTAGTTAGTATGTCAGACTTCAAGTTGAGGGGCTGGGTGACAGAAAAACTACTTTAAATTATGGAAATGAATTAATTATATGGAAATTCTCGATGGGGCATAGATATTCCTACAGATATCTGGCACCTTTTCAAAAGTCACCCCTGCTGCCATCATAAAGAAAACCAAGAAAGCAGAGCCTCTATTCTGCAGGCATCAGTCATCATGTTCCAACACACCTATCTCCTTGAAAACTTCAAGGGCCATAATCCTGTCTTTCAAGCACCAGACCTGTAAAAGAAGTATAACAATAGGCACTTAGATAAGCAGTTACTAAACAATATACTATTGATATAGTCGTTTCTAGAGATGTTCATAAAGCTGTGATGCTATAAAGCTAAGTACATAGAATCCTCGAGTATACTACACAATGTCAACTCAGATAAATAATATTCTGACATTAAAGTGCAAATTTACCTCAAAATTCTATCTTACTATATTGCTAACAATTCACCTCAACCTTCTGGAAGAGTCAAACTCAAAAGTTTCTCAATACTTTAATCCACCGAAACTCCTAAACATTTTGAAGATATCACTTACTTAAAAATACAACTTTTCTAAAATAACCATTTTCAACACAAAGTAATACCGATTCACTAAAGATTTTTTCCTTATTATTTAAAACATACTTTTTAAGGTGGTGGGGAGATATAGACTGCATTTAGTAAACTATTGCCTGTCAAGTTGGCCTCAGGTAAATCCTTTAACCCATCAGAACAGAAGCGTATCCAGTCAGATTAGATTTCTCATCTTTGGCCAAAAATTGTATTCAATTATTTCATAGTTCAAGTAAATTTTTTCCCCATTTGAGCCATACCTTAAGTTTATCAGCATCTTGAATTGCACTGAGCCTGCTAGAAAATGGGAAAAGAACAAAGTTAATATACAGTGATTCTACAGTTTGCTTATATTTTGAAGAATGGCTTTTATTGTGGCAATCTACTAGCCATCTTTGATGAATAAAGTGCTACCTTTGAATAGAATTCCTCTTAAAAAGCTACATTCTCCACATTTCTTGACACTTGGAATCTTCTGTCCTTTCCAGTCAGGAACAAATTTGAGGTAATAAACTTCCTAGATCCTGAGACTCTACTTAATACAATGCCAGCAGCCACCATCTGTCCATCATGACCTCTTTGCTACACTAGCATAGAATAGTTATCAATTTTAGGAAAAAAAAAATTACTGGCAACAGTTGTTTACCTAGGAAAAAAGGGAAACAAACCTTCTATAAATTTAAAAACCAGAGGAAGCTGGAAACTTGTTTACCCAGCAGAGGCCGAGTCCAGCACTCTGAGAACAGTCCTCAGCACTTGCTCTGTTTGCAGCCCTTAAATAGACACTGGCGCAAGCTGCTTCCTTGACAAGTTGCTTAGTTCTCCCAACCCAGGGCTCTCTCTCAGCCAGAACCATTTAAGCAGTTGGGCTCAGCAGGAATTCCCATCACCTAAAGCCACTGTTAAAGCCTGCCCATTGCATTCCCCTGTGGGTTGTGGTCTTCACCAGTGATTGAGGCATTCAGGGCTGGGGTCCCTCTGTCTTGAGCTCACCTATATGGCTGGAAAAGGAGTGCCTAGAACACAGCCTACAACGCTCTCCTTTTTTCCTGTGTAAGGAATAGTAAAATTTCTGTTCCACTTGGTAGCCTGGGTGAGGGAAACATGTCATCTCCACAAGCTTCACAAGGGAAGACAAAGTGGTACTTATGATAGTTACAATGATTCCTCCATCAGTTACTGTAGATCTTTACGAATTTTACTAAATTCATTAAATAACCCTCTGTACAGCAATGTGTACCAGAAAGAAACACTTAAAAATGCCAGGGTTAAACAAAAAAACACGATGGATCTTACACCCCAAAAAAGTTGCAAGAGGGTTCTGTGATAACACAGGTCACTTCTGAAAAGGTGAATCTGTGGGAGGTATATCCGGGGCTCCCTCATTAAACTCCACACCATTTACCTGCTCCTGAAATACCCCTAGACCTTCCAAACAACTACAAGCAAAGTGGCAGCAGGAAGGGCATTTGGGGGAGGGGGAGGCTGGCTATGTGAACAAATTGCCTCCTTTCAGTGGCTAATATCTGTTAAAAAAAAATAGACAAGAGGCCCCAAATGGAGTTACTTGTGCTGAGTCCTACATCAGAAACCAAGATCTAACAATTGCAGCTTCAGTCTTTTCCACGAATGTAACCAACCAGTCAGTCTGGTCGTTCCAGCAGAGGTAATCTGCCTAATAGACCACCTCCCACCCCCCAAGGAAGGCGACCACCTTGCCTGAAACAACTCACTTTTCCTTTTTTCACCCCGTTTAGAAAAACCTACAAAATTTTTGCACAGCTCTTCAGCGCTCATTTCTACTCGCTAAACGGGGGCAGCTCCATTTATAAATAGCTTCAAAAAGTCAGACCTTTACTTTTACCCCACATTGTTGTTGTTTTAACACAGGGAAATTCTACTGCTATGAACGGAAACTTAAAGCCTTTGACATCAATGATCTCATCCACTTCCTAAACTGTCTTAAGTCCTGGCGGCAGAGCCCTGGGCTAGGCGGGAACCGCGAGTCAGCCAAGAACTGGGGCACCTTCCTGGGCTCTGCGCCTCCGCCCCCGCTTAGTCTGGGTCCCAAAATGGAGTATTTTCATGAAAAAAGCAGCTTGAAGCTCCAAGCTCCCTGTGGCTGGGATACCTTGAACGTCTGGATTACAGACTAGAGACTCCGGGCATCCTGGCCACTGGGGAAATAGGGCGGCGAGGGTAGAGGGACCACGAAGGTGCATCCCAGGGAAGAGGGACCCGGGCACCACGAGGACTCGCTACCCAAAAGGGGCCCTCAGGGGGGCTCCCTTGGGCGTTCCGCTCCGGGTCTCAAGGAGGGCTTCTCCCAAGAAGTCACGGAAGAGAGGCTGAACCCCAATCCCGGCCGCACGGATGGGCACCCGAGCAGGGACCACCCACGTGGTCGCCTCGGACGTCCAGCGGGTGGGAAAGCACTTACCGGGTCGTGCGCCGACGTCTAAAAGGAAGGGCGCCTGGGAACCCAAGTTTAAAAGGGCCTGGGCCGTCAGCACGCGAGCAGCCAACCAAAAAGTTGCCCAAGCGCCCCACCCCGCCCAGCCACCGCCCAGCCGAGCGGCGCCGAGAAGCCCTCGGGCGCCTCCTGGCCGCAGCCTGGGGAGAGCAAGGCGGGTGGCTCCCGGGTCCCCAGCCCCACCTCCGAGCCTGCGGAAGGACGCGCGACCTCAGCTTCAAACTCGTCCCTGGGAGTGCTCTCCCCTTTACCTCATTGCAGCTTCGCTGAAGTTCCCAGCACTCAAATGTTCAGTATCTCCATCCCTTACTCCCCTCCCAGCTCCGCCCCCCTTAAAGTCTTCAGTCACCTCCTTTGTGCTTATTTTAATTGCAAGACTCTTGCCTAATCATGTAACAGAAGGTTGACTGCTGTTAAAGGAACTATGGGCATTATTGCGGGTGGGGTGTGAACCTTTCAAAAGGGGGACTTGATGCCAAGTGGGAATTGATGTCCTGTAAGTGCTTGATTAAACCTGCTGAATTTTCTTTCATAGTGTATTTGGTATTTCACACATACAGCGAACTGCTTGTCGAGCAGGGGTCCCAGGGTATTGGAAGGTTGTGAGCAACTCTCTGGCTAGTTTTGCTGCTGCTGGAGGGGAAACTTCCCCCTTTCTCCCTCTTCCTGCCCCCTCTCCCCGTCTTCTGCCAGATAGTGCCCCAGGCCTCCCCCACCCTTTCCTTTCATTCCTTTCCAGGGAACGAATTTCAATAAAATCTTGTGCTAACATGAATTCTGATGCAAACTGTGGCAGGCTTGCAGGTTTCCATCCTCTGCCTGACCTCTGTCCTCAGTGGGATAGTCTTAGTGTCTGATGGGAGGGGGAGCCAGAAGGTGAATCCTGGATTCTGGAAGCCATTGAGGGTTTTCTTGGTTCAGCATACGGTCAGTTGGGTGCATCATAACTATTGATACCTCTATCTTTATGTTTTTGGGTTTTTTTTTTGGGGGGGGGTACCCAAACTGAATGAAAGATTATGTTTCTCATTAACCCTGAAATAACATGATCCTGCATTTTACTCACTTGAAACTTTTGGTTACCTTGTCTATTATGGCAGGTGACAGCCGGTCCTGCAGGAGGCCACACAGAAAGCGGTAAGCTGTGAGGACTCACTTTTTCTTCCTTCCTCACCCAGGATCAGTATGAGGTAAGGGTGACCCAAGGTCTAGACTGAGATGGAAAGTAGAACAGACTCAGGTCTGTAGACATCTTATCAGTAGTGAAGCTAACAGTTTAATTTCTGTTTTGTGCCTTATGTCTGAGTTAATTCTGAATGTGGAAGGGCTAAAAAGCACATTTATCACCCTCCCCAAACCCTGTAGTTGTCTGATCCTTATTCCCAGGAGATCTGAAGACTCACTTGTTCTCACAGAATAACATCAGACATAGATCTAGGACATTTGCTTTGCAAATTAATCAGCCCATTCATTTACTTTTGTCTCTGTACTAAGTGCATACTTTATTGTATTGTTGTAATGTGGAGTCACAAAATAAAGTAATGGCAGACATTATTTATGATTTAAATGATCGCTCCAGTTGGGTAACATTTTAAACGGTGCCATTGGGCCATTTGCCATGTGCAGATCTCTGTCCAGCATCCAGTTTTTTCCAAGCAGCAGTAGACTTGTTTTTTTTTTTTTTTTTTTTTTTTTTAAAGATTTATTTTATTTTATTTTTTAAGATTTATTTATTTATACAAGCACACTAGGTACAGTGAGAAGTGCGGGAGGGTGAGAGAATTCACCAGAGCCAGAGCGGGGAGCAGAGCAGGCAGAGGGACCGAAGTACACTGCTGAGGGGAGCAGCGGGCGGCAGGAGAGGTCTGCGCGCCATGTGGGACCCTCCTCAGGTGGCCGGGGAGCAGCCGGGGATCGAACCGGCGCCGCAGAGGTCGCTGGCAGCTTCGCAACCCAGCGCTCAACCACTGTGCCACCGGGGAGGCCCAGTAGACTTGTTTTCAAGCCAAGAGAGAATGTCTGCCCTAGCTGAGGTCTGTTGGTTTCATCTGCCTCATCTGTGTGACTGACTTCAGCACTTAGAGAATGTACAAGCCCTTAGATATTGTGCTCTTGTTTGTGATTCCCCACATGGTACAAAACAAACTATTTTTAATCTTATTAATTATTATTGTTTTTTAATGAAGTACTACTGTATTATATACTTGTTCATTTTTTGACAGTATAGGATATTTTCCTTCAGGTGTGGTCACTGTAGCTCTTCCACCGTCAAATCAACAAAAGTCTTCCAGCATAGTCCAAAGAATTCTACCTCCACTCCTCCACCTCCCTCTCTGGATGCCTTAGATCTGTGGTCAGCTTTCAAGGGCTGGTTTTAATGTTTGTCTCTGTTTGACCCTGTGTTTGGTTTCTCTATATTCCACATATAAATAACACCATCTATATCCTGGTTTATTTAACTTAGCATAATCCCTTTCAGCTCCATCCATGTTGCTGCAAATGGTATGAGTTTATCTTTTTTGACAGCTGAACAATATTCCATTGTGTATATATACCACATCTTCTTGATCCACTAATCTCAAAACAGATTATTAGAAAAAAAATCTTAGCTTTGTTATTTATAAACCTGAGCATTGTGCTTATTACTTCTAGGAAATATATAAATAAAAGGATAAAAGAGAATTCCATTTAGTCACATATTCAATATGTCAAATATATCACCTTTATTGATAAGAATGATAGTTTGTTGTGAAACAAATAAAATAAAATCATTCTTTAATTTCACATCCTTCTTCATCCAACTTCTCATTTGTTTCTCTTTACAGCAAAACTCCACAAAAGCATTGTCTATATTTGTCTCCAGTTCTTTTTTCCATTCTTTTCTGAATCTAATTGTGGTGGGCAGCCTCTGAGATGGTCCTCATTTGATGATTTCCACTTACATTTCATTGGCTAGATCTGTATCACATGCCTTCCTGTAGCAGCAAGTGATGCTTTGAAATGCATTAAAAGAAAAAAGAGAGATAACAGATTACATCAAACAAAAGTAAAACTAGGCACATTACCACAAATAAAAGAATTGACAGAGTAATGTCCAGGGGTGTCTAAAATTGTGGGCTTCTTCCTTTGCATATGAAAAGCAATCCCCCCACTTTCAGTCCTAAGAGATTGTAGTCCCAACCCCATGTTCCATGTCTCTACTTTAATCTGGATGGAGCTTCAGGTGGTGAGAACAGTGTGTATATAATTCCTGAGAGGACTTGAAAAAGAGTTTCTTTGTGACTGGATCCCAGAGTAGGTGTGTGGGACAGAGAATAATTACAGATGGGCTTTGTTGTATATATATGTTATTGTTCAAATCAACACTGCCAAGTTTAAATTCCAAGGGGGTAGGGATTATAATTGAGTAATTTCTGTATATAAATCTCTGGCTGCCTGAACCTCATGTAGTCAACTGCTAAAACATGCCCTTCATAGAAATGATGATAAATGTGGGAAGTTGTTTGATTGCATTGTCCTTTCTGATTAGTGCATTCTTATAACCCTCATTTGGAAGTGTGAAACTGGCCACTGGGTATCCAAATTTGGATACAAATTTGTACTGGGTAATTGAATCAGCAATGCAGCACATGGCTTCTCCTAAGTCATGCTTTAAGCTTCGTGAATTTATAATGTAAAAACAATCAATCAGTTTGTTCTCTCCAGAGTTCTTGATGTGGACTCGAGAGTCCACATGTTACACATCTGTGTGACCATGACTGCTACACTTGGGAGGAAACAGCAGGACTTGTTTAGCTTCCTCTTATTCCAATTCCTATGTTCTTTCTCTGCTCCTTGCCAGAGGCAGCCTTCAAATTGGGGTGACAGCATCTTTCTATCCACAGTAAAGTTATTCTGTGTTTTTTCTGTTGCTAATCTATTCACCCTTAAAAATCTGTGTTCCACTAGGTAGGGTGTAAGGGGCCTTACATTTTAGTCAAGTCAAATGCATTTAGATTCAATAATTTAAACAGGCATTTGAGGTAAACATTCAGCTAAACGTTCAGTCTATTTTTGTCAAAGGCCCAGCTTTTTGCATTTCTGCTTTCCCTTCCCCAATCCTCTCCATGGCATCTGGTGAATGTGTGTGGGGAGTGCTTAGGGCACAGTGGGGAGACAGGCTGATTCCTGTCTTTTGTATTCCAACTGGCCTTTTCTGCAGTGGGTGCTGCCTGCCACAAATTGACAACTAGGATGACGCTGTGCCAGTGCTGGGTCTTTTCTGGGGTTTGCTGCTAAAACTTGTGACCTGGTCACTCACAATAATGCTGCTCTTGGTTTGGGTAAGCCTTGGGAATCTACCTAAGTCAAAACTGCAATGTCACCTGCCTTGGCCATCCTATCCCAAATACTCCTCTTTCCACTGCTTTCTATTTCTTTGCTCCGCTTTAAAAATAGCATTACAAGTATAATATCCCTGAGGTGGGAACCTGCATAGCATATTCAGGGCCATCAGGAAGATGGAACCATGGTAACCTCTTAATATGACCCTCCTAACCTGGGGATCATATTTGTGATATTTTAAATCACGAAAGCTCTTGTAGATTTTTTATTTTAAAAACTGAAATGGACTGTTTCCATTATTTTCATTTCAGCTTTAACAATCCTGTTTCTTTTTGAAGCAATGTGGTTGCCTCTGCCTAACAATGTGTAGTCACATACAAGGCAAGGGGAAATGGTTGGACATTAAGAAGAACAGCTTACTCCTTCGCAGAATCTGACACTGTGGGTCACATAAAGTTTCTAGGAACTGATATCAACTAACTTATTAATTCGAAGTGCATACATTGAGTGCCACCGTGAGAGGCGCTGCTGCTGAGGCTGGATAAGAAGGTGAAAACTACAGCCCTCTGTTCTGGAAGGAATTACAATCTGACAGGGAGGACAGCCTATTAGAGGCCAGGGAAAAGGTTCTAGGAGAGGCATGGGAGGGGCCTGGGCCTGGTCTGCAGCTTGGTCCTAGAAGTTTCCTTTGAGCTTGAGGGTGAGCGTGTTCTGGTTCTTTTCCTTCCCGTCCTTTCTGCCCCCTGGCTGCTTGTGCTTCTTATCCTACATTCTTGATTGGGCATTTTATGTGAGTCCTTCTCTAGCCATATTCTCTCTCTATATTCTCTTGCAGATGGTACCTTTCTTTAACTTCTACCCTAGATTAGTCCCACATCCCTGTTTTTAGTCTTGTCTTGTCTGCAGGATCAGTCCTGGCATCCTCTGCTGTCTCCAATTCCTCATTTTGTGACTTCTGGGGTCTCCTCCCTTTTGACTTAGTTCAGCCTCATTTTTGAATCAAACCCCAACTAACGTCTCCATCTTAGTTTAAAAGTGCTGTTGAGAGAGAATCTGCAGCAGGCACTGAGCCTCTCTGCATGTTCTTTCCAAAGCTTTGAACCTTTCCAAGTCTGCACCAGAGAATATAGAAGGGAAAATATTTAGCTTGAAAAAATTTAAAGGCAGGTGTTGACTGAATAGTGGTCTTTTCTTGGAGAAATTCAATGTGAAGTGAGTTTTGCCCCTTTGGATAAAAAATAAATGCTGCACTCTGCTTTTCTGCCCAGATGAGCTTGCCTTTTGTTGACATTCTCACACGAATGAGAACACTTTGGAATGTCTGGTTTTTAAGTGAAATTACTTAATGAATTCAAGAGGATAATTTTTTTGCAAAATATACTGTTACCTAAGGATCACCTGTTGAATGGGGTATGAAACAGGCCATCGAAGTGAGGCAGAATGGCCATTAAAAGCAAAAAAAATGCTTATCATTCTTATTGAGTGGCATGCCTTCTGATTGTCTTTAGTGAGGGTATTAGAAAACAGAAGGTCCCAGAAAGTCATTTTATTTTACAAGAAAAATAATATGGACTAGAATGCAACTCTCTTTGACATGCCTTAAAATGAACTGGAATCTGTCAGGAGACAACTCCTACTACCTCTGGTTGTAGATAGAAGATTATGATATGAGGTTTAAGTGATAGTCATATTTGCCAAATCTTTTTTTTTTTTTTTGAGATTTTATTTATTTATTTATTTATTTATTTTTAAATATTAAATTTTATTTTTATATTCCCCCATACAATTGCAAACGCCCCATTCTGACCCCAATCCTTCCCCTCCCGACCCCCACCCCCCAAAAAGTGTCTCTGGTTCATAGTTTTTT